GTGGTGATGACCCACATCTAGTCTTACACTGCTAAATTAGGGACGGCTAGCGTAGATAGCCCTCGTGTAGCTTTGCGCGAAATTCATAACAAACAAACAAACAAACTAGCTCTAGAGTACCAAGAATATTCGTTAATGATCGAGGTATTTCACGAAATATCTAGAAAGAAGAATACATTATACATACAAGAATTGGTGAAGCATGATGAATCAGATTGAGAGGTTAGTGAAAATAAAGATCAGTGTTAGTATCGCGTGTATTCAGTTTTTCGATCGATTAGCCATGAAATTGTACAAGTAAGTTTATTTGTACGTTAGTCGTGTTACCATAAACGAGTAAATTTCTTTTGAAATTGAAAACGTTATTTTAAAATTAGAGCCTACAACTGTGTACAAGTGAAAGTAGTCTGTAGCAAACGTTAAGGAAGATTTAAGCTAATCTGTTGTAGTTACGAGAACTGTACTTTGCATTATGTTCACCATATAATTTAATTTAAAGAACCCGCCCAACGAAAGAAAATGTTATAATATGTTACTTTTATTAAAGGTTTTGAGAAATTGAATTGGAATGGGAAAGGAAAAATAGTAATTTCATGTTCCTAGTGAAAGAACAACGAAAGAAAATGTTATAATATGTTACTTTTATTAAAGGTTTTGAGAAATTGAATTGGAATGGGAAAGGAAAAATAGTAATTTCATGTTCCTAGTGAATCATATGTGAAACCAAGTGTATAATAATGCATACCAAGTAACGAAAAACAACTAGAGTTTAAAAGTGCTGGTTGTCCCTGCTGTGTCCCTTTAGTTATACTTACACAGAACAGTGTTCATGATTTATGGCAATATTAGAAAGGTGAGTACCTACGCCTTACAGCCCCGCCTTCCGCTACCTAAGGTGTTCTGTGCGATGGTTCTGGAAATGCAATTTTTATGCAACTTTTACAGAAGACACTGAAGTCAGTGTTGTGCCTCTCCTCTTTAGACACTTTACAAAATCTACCAGTCATGTGCAGAAGACGACTTTTGACAGCCCGTTCGAGCAACCCAAAGGTACAGAGATCAATGAGAGATGTCCTCCAAGAGTGTGGCATGAATTCTTATTTGTACTTGCATCTTATGAAGGAACTGGCGTGTTGCCTTCGACGTTTGTCTAGAGGCTTTGTCTTGATGGAGCCACATTTTATTGGCATCCAAATCACACACAAAAAATGTTTTTTTTCCTAATGATATAGTGTTGCTGTGTTGTACTGTTAGCCCGATTGTATGCAGAGTTTAACTCATTTTTGTTTTTCTCAACTCTGAATATTCAACTTGCCATTATAGATGTAAATATATTGAAAGAAACTGTCGTGACATGCTTTATACCAATTTTAAAATGTTGTTTCAACAGCAGGATAATAATAAATTGTCCAGATTTTTGTAAGCATTTTAATAGATAAAGTCTCTGTCCAATTGATGATATATTTCCAAACTTTATATGTCAGGTAGTGCTCATACAGTCTTTGACAGTTCAGTTAACCTTCTCTTCAGCTAAGAGCTTTGAGAGAAACTTGTGTACAGGTCTCTTGTGTCTATATAAATTATTTTGTTTACAGTTTTAAAGAAGCTTTTTACTTGGCTACAATAAATCGCTGGTTGGTGTGTAAAAAATCAAGTATAAGGTTAGTTATCTTT